AGTGCCCTAGTGCAGGTCACATGCTGAGTAGTGCTGCATTTCTGTTGGAACAATGTCAGAACAATTTAATGTGGGTGGAAAAGAATGAAGGAATTAGCAAAATAGGCTTCAAGCATCTGCTTCCACTTGCTCTGGGGACAATGCTATTGGAGGGGATATGAAAGAATCTGTGAGGTTTCCTATCATGGAAAAAAAATGATCATCCATGTTTTAGACAACCTTTTGATACTTCCTTTCTGGAAAAATGTCAACAGTTAGCTATTAAAAGTAAAGGCTACATATTAATTTTAGTGTGATCTTAGTTGCTCCACAGCGAAACATTCATTATCAAACAGTGAGGCAGCATTGAAGACTGCTATCTTCAATGAACTTCCCTTAAAATGGTTTTTACACTCACCAATAGAGAACTGTATGTGTTAGATATATTTATCAGGTCAAGTGCATTATATCACTATTTAAAAAAAGGCTTTGGAATGAGGTTAGAATCTGACACACCCTACTGAAGACAGGGAGAGCAGATTAAAGTCAAAAGTTCCATGTCTGGATCCAAGAGTTGGAGACTTCCAGTAAGAAACATGTAGCTGGCTTGTTTTCACTATTTTGTCAGTGTCAATTACCAGTTTTATTGTATGAATTTTTACTTATTGTAGAAATATTATATATGGTCTGCTAATTCTTTTGAGAATTAATTGAGAAGTGTTGCAGAACAAAAGCAGCATTAATTTTTCCATCCTGCATATATTTGTAACTTTGAATTTGATGGAATAATGGCTGTAGTATAAGTATTCTACAAAAATACTTCCATAAGAATTGTAGTGAAATTTAGATTTTTGGAAGACCTTTAGTTTTGTATCTCAGATTAGCTTATTTTTTTTCAATTTGTGGATTAAGCCTGCATAAACAATAACTTCTTTAAGATGGCATTCCCAGACCTTGCAACCCTAAAAATACCTTTTGTGAGCCTAGCTTTATGCTTATTTAACATCACACATGCTAGTTGTCTATGTACTTTGTTTTTAAACTTAGAGGATTTTTTTTTTTTTGAAAAAGCCAAGGTTTTTCCAGTGACTACAGTGGGTTTAGAGATTAGTATAGAAGTGAAACGTGACTCACCTCCTCTATAGAGGTGAAACTCCACCCACTGGACCTCAAAATGGCCATACTGTTAAACACTATTGCCTCAGCTTCAGAGCTCACAATGATGCAGCACTTGGAAATTCAGTTCTCCCTTGAGTTCTGGTGCATTAGCACCCTCCTTCAGAAAGTCCTTTATTTCTGTTCATCAATGTATGTGAGTCATAGAGACTATTGACCATAGGTTGCCTGTAACTGTACCTTCAATATTCATCTGTGTACTCATACAACACTTCATTCTCCCTGCTTTGTTTTGTGCTTGTTTACACTGTTTTTGCTTGAACTTCCACTGTTGCAACAAATTATGAACTTGAGAGCCCAGCAGAGGATGCAGGCAGGACTCCCACCCAAAATTTCCTGTGTTCGTATTTGGTTGTAGTATATATGTAGCCCTGACCATACTGTCTTCTCTTTTAGGGTTTGTTTGTTTATTTATTTATTTATTTATTTATTCGATTTATATCCTGCCTTTTTCCTACAAAGGGCTCAGAGCAGCTTACATCATTCTCCTCCTCCATCTTATCCCCACAGCAACAACCCTGTGAGGTAGGTTGGGCTGAGAGTCTGTGACTGGCCCAAAGTCACCCAGTTGGCTCCATGGCTGAGTGGGGACTAGAACCCTGGTTGGCTGAGTCCCAGTCCCATGCTCTTAACCACTACACCACACTGGCTCTTAAGGGTTGTTAAGTATAGTAAGAAAATTCTCTTTGTAAGTTCTAGTAGTGAATTACATGTTTAATATGTAATACCTGAACCATAATTTATTCTGTTGTCTTGCTGTTAGCTATCTACATTGGGCTGTTCACAGATCACACTGCCTTATAAACGGTTTCCATTTATGGAATCACATATGATGCTTAGATTTGACTTTCTTTCTTGTTGATCACCAGTGATGACATAACGTAAGGTATATTATAGGAGCAGACTGAGTATAGAAGCTTTGTTCTATAGTCATGTCAAAAAGTAAGGCACCAAAGCCTTTTATAACTAGCATAAGTATATTCTGCCTTGCAGAGGACTGCAAGAGCAGGAGCACCTCTTGGTGCAGTTGTTTGATACTCAGGAAAACATCAGAGATTGAATTATTGGGTTATAGATGACTAAGATCATGGGTGGGCGACTAAGATCATGGGTGGGCAACTTGTCTTTTTACATTTTTTAAAATTGTTCAAAATTGTTCAATTGTTCAATTGTACCTTTACATAAGCAAGAAAGCAAGCAGAATAAACAAAAAAAAATACAATTTTTGAATAAGATTTTAAAAGTTCCAGGTACATATATATTATTTATCCCTATGTATAACAGAACATATTATCATAATTAAAAATAATTATGCATAGACTTTAACAAGGGCACCCCAAATATCCATATACTTATTCATTTGTAGATTTTATCTAAAGATGGAAATTTTCATTACGTGTTACAAAATTTCCACGTTATTTTTACAGCTGGCCATTTATCCTTCTAGTGTTGTAATGTTAGTATTTTAGCTGAAATTCCAAGAAATGGGAAGGTAATTAAAAATACATGTGCATCCTTAAATATTAAAGAACTTTCTGTCATAAGATTTATTTGGATTAGTTGGATTGGATTGGAAGCTGGCACTGTGCATTGTTAAAACTTAAGTGGAAGAGAAGCACAAGCAGCATTACACCTCCCAAGAATCAGCTGATTAAATTAAGGCCTTGTAAATGGGAGGTTCTGGTGTCTAGTATACCTAAGATGTTAATTTTTGCTGGGGTAAATATGCCTAAGATCTATAATCCCTTGCAAAATATATAATAATGGAGCATCCCATCTTGTCCAAACAATGGGATGCTTCATTTCATTATTCCATTTTTGGTCTGAGACTCTGTGTATTATTTAGATATGTATGAGAGAGACTTGTAAGCTTGGCCTCTGTCAATACTTCCAATCACACAGGAACCTCTGAAGCTGTACAAGCAAAATCTGGATTCTAACAAATATTTCAAGTGCATACATTGTCATGCAGCCCTAGCTGACAAAAATAGGTTGAGCAAGGAAAAGTGGAGAATGGCAGTCAGGACCGACAAGCTAATCCAAAGTAAAAATCAATCCAAGTCCGCCAAAAAATTCCTTGCCAATTTTTAAATCCAGATTTTCTCATAAAATTGATTATAACATAAGGAAAAAGAAGAGCCATGCAGGCCCTGACCAGTCCAGCACTCTGTTCACATAGTGGGAAACCAGCTGCCCAGAAATCTCTCAAGCAGGATGGGCATAGGAGTTCTGCCTGCCTAAGCTCCTGTGCAGTTGGTGTACACAGGCATGCTGTTTTTGATAATGGAGGTGGCACATGAGCAGCAGGGCTAGCAGCTCTTGAGAGCCTTCTCCTCCATGAAATTAGCCAGTCACCTTTTAAAGCCATCCAAATTGGTCGCTATCATTATTTCCACTGGCAGCAAAATAACTATGTGCTGTTAAGTATTTTCTTTTATCTGTCCTAAAGTGTAGCGTGGATAATTTAATTTAATACCAGCATGTAGTTTTTAAAAGAATAACAATTTAAAGTGTGAATTTCAATCCTGTACCCCTTATTTGGGGTACATGGAAATTCAGTAGAAATTTTTACCCTTTTCCTGTATAGGAGTATGCATATATTGAGGGTGTCATCTAGTGGGCTGTTTGTTACCCTCTGACCTTGGAAGATTTCAGGCATACAATGAAAGGTGGGTGGAGCACAGAGGCTAGGATTGTGTCTGTTCGCCTTTTGCCTTCCACAACATTTAGACAACCAATTTCACCCATCAAAATGTGAGGAGAAGCTGAGGTAGGATTCATCAGAGTACAGTGCTGCCTCTTTCCTACTTTACTTGCCCTGTGGAATAAACCCCCCACAGCAGATCCAGAAATGACCTTACATCTTGTGAGAAGAACCATTCTGGCAGAGAGCGGGGAGCTCTGAGGTGTCTCTGCCTCAACCTCAGAAGGCTTGCCTGGGGTTGGAGCTGGGATTCAAACCTATTCTGTGCTGTCCCCACACATACAATATCTGCAGCCTCTAGCATTGTGCGCTAAAGTTTTAAGAATTTTAAATTAGTGACCTAAAGAAGAATGGATGTTCCGAACACTGATAGCAAATCATTTGGCAAGTCATGAGAAGGTTAAGGCTAGAATGGATCCATGAATGTTGGTTTCTCTCAGTTTATAATTTTTTCAATCTTAAATTTTCTTTGGCCTGCACAAACAATGGCAATACTGTTTGCCAGAACATAGGCAATGCTGTTCACATTTCTTCTAATACATACATTTAATGTATTTTACCTAACATACTATTTTTGCAAGCATTTTAGTAAGATATATTTATTTTCATTAGTATGCACATTTTTGTATACATGTTTTGACTGGTGAATACTTTGTGAAATTCAGAGAAATGCATATTTTGAAGGATTGTGTAAGTTCAAAAGGGCAAAAATATATAAATCCACTTTTGGATACAAACCTAATAAATTTGTCTTCCATCCCTTAAATAATCAAGTATCCTGTACAATGTTTAGAAATGCAGCTTGATTCTGTGAATGTTTCCTTGAGGACAAACCAACTTAATTAAATAGCACCATGTGCATAAGATTGTAGCCAAAGTCCGATGACCAACTGGTAATAAATTCATAAGTAAATTTTGCAGATTTTTAAAGGACAGGAACCAAATCACAAGAGATTTTGGATAAATGGTATGTCAGACACACTTAGTATCTGCTAGGAGAACTAGTTCCTAATGGGAGAACAAGATGTTACAGCAGGCAGCTCCTGCTACATAGAGTAACTTACTTCTCCTTACTGGTGATTAGCATAGTATAACTAGACAGCATTATATTTCTTGATATATGCTTGTATTTCCCTTTTAGGACAGGAAGCTGTCAAAATCAGAACGACAACGGTTTAAAGAGGAAGCTGAAATGCTGAAAGGACTTCAGCATCCTAACATTGTTAGGTTCTATGATTCCTGGGAATCTACTGTCAAGGGAAAGAAGTGTATTGTTCTGGTTACAGAGCTTATGACATCTGGCACTCTGAAAACGTGAGTATGAGCCTGCTAATGCTTTGCATTAATGATAACTGTGGAGATCAACATTGAAAATGAATGAAAAGCATGTTATTAACCCTACTTAGGCAAAAAAAATGTATGTACTATGGAGTGTCCTTTATTGACTGTTTCACAGAAGAAGATCCAGCATTAGGACCGTTATGTCCCCTCTTGGCTTCTGAATTATGAAACTTCTGGAACTATTGTCGATGCTGTACTATGAGGAAGAAATTAAGAACCCCTGAGGTCTGAGTCTAGCAAGCTGTATCATGTCTCCAGTATAGCAAATGCTTCCGATTCCAGGCAAAATAAGCAACAAGGGTGTCCTCTAGTGGTCAGTAGAGTTTTGGCAACTTTTTCTTACCCTTCTTAGTGTAGAGGGAACTCTGCATTGAAGGCAATTTTAATTCTGAACAGTTGAGCTGTTTTTGAAACAGAATTCCTTAATTGTAACCAGATTGTTGTATAACATGGAAAAGTAGCCATTAGTGCTGTTAAATTAGTGAAATAAGTAATATTGTAATCAATAAGTAGTTGTACTGAATGGTTTTATTATTACTGAACTTAAAATCAGCTTTAGTTTTATATGAGTTTTTTAAATACCACAAATGGGCATAGTTAAAAAGTAACAGAACGCCTTTCCTCATCATGAGAATAGTTGCAGGAAACTCCTCAACCATTATCTTTTTTTGAGGTATGCCATACTAAGGCAGACCTGTACAATTTGTAATTCACTGAGCTGCAGTCATCCTACCAGCTGTATAGCATGGTCTATCAGGAATTTAAACCCTTGTTTTCTTTGCAGCTCCAGGCAGGTAGCAAGTGAATGGATCACAAGTTTTATAACTATGTACAAAATTATAATACAAGGATAAAGTTTCTTTTTAAGGCTACTTGTGATATAATAGCCTTGTTTTGCATGTAATAGCAACCCAGGATTTCTTGAACGAAGAGTGTGTAGCCTTCAAGCATTCAGCCAGTTACCAACCCCTGAAAATTACTGGAGACCAGTTTCATTGCTGCACCAAAACTCAGTGGCAATAAAGAATTAATAAAAAACTTAATAACAGCTGCAAGATTGAGTATAGGAAAGAACTGGAAAGTAAAACATGAGTATCAATTGAGTAATTGGTATAGAGAAATTTGAAATACAGCTATTAATGACAGACTTGTGATACTAAAGTGAAAAATGCTATATAAAAATAATTTTGATGATATTTGGAGTTCATTTTTGATTATGTGTTTTAAAAAGAGAAAGCATTTGAACCTTCAGAGGAGTAATTGTGATTTTGGAAGGGGGCTGGAGCTTTTTGAAAGAATTTTTGAAAGAACTTTTAACATCTATCCGGTGGTCCTGGTGGTGGAATGCACAGCATTTTTAATGTTTCATTTTAATTGTTTAATGTTATATGTCTTTATTTTATTGCAGATTTTTCTTTTAATTGTATTCTACATTTTAAATAATAAACATTTATTTTAAAAACTCAGTGGCAATTTGGCAGTGGTGAGAAAAGACATTTCCACTTTAAAACAAGTAATTGATGAGTGCACTCTTTGGACATGACCCTGTGTGGAAAACAATCTAATTGTGGGGACAGAAAGGGTATTACTGAATATGGAGGCAGGAATATCTATTTTGCCTTACAAACTTGGCTTCAGAAGCCTTTTGTGATACAGCTTAACCCGGCAATGCCTCTTCTAGAAATTTCTTCAGAAAAAAATCAAAAACAGAGAAAATAGTTTGTGGCAGAGTTCCTTATTGAAAACAAAGAGGGTGGGAAAGGAAAGATCCCATTTCACCTACAGGTAAACTGAGGCAGCAGGCAGTTAGAATTAATCACTGTGGGAGAGTTTAGGTCACATAAATGCAGCACATTAACTTCATAGTGGGACTGCAGGTTGCGCAGTGGTTTAAACTGCTGTGGTGCTGGGCTGGTTGATCTAAAGGTCGCCGGTTCGAATGTGCACAACGGGGTGAGTTTCTGTTGCCCTGTCCCAGCTCCTGCCAACCTTGCAGTTCGAAAGCATGCAAATGCAAGTAGATAAAAAGGTACCACTTTGGTGGGCAGGTAACAGCGCTCTGTGCACTTCGGTGTTTAGTCATGCCGGCCACATGACCACGGAGACTCTCTGAGGACAAATGCTGGCTCCCTCGGCTAGGAAACGGAGGTGAGCACCGCCCCCTAGAGTCAGGCATGACTGGACGTAATGTCAAGGGGAAATCTTTACCTTTTTTTAACTTCATAGAGCCAACAGGGAGCAGAATTTTGAAAAAGTCAAACACTGGGGTGGGGGAAGAGTTCCCACCAAAATGTTCTCAGTTATGAAATCTTCCTGACAACAGGCTCCATGCAGGCTCAGAGCCAATATGTGTTAGCACATAGATGATCACTTGGGGAACAACAGCAACAGATAAGCATCCTGTCTTTCTCATACTTCAGCCGTTCTCTTTGCTTGTTGTTCTTTAATTCCAAGTGTAGAATTTTCATTAACCGTGAGAAAACACTTTTGTTATGTCCTGCTTGTTTGAATACAGTTGATGTTTAATTTTGTTCTACAAGAGGGAGCTTAGTTTTGTTCTACTTGTTCTTTCCTAGATACTTAAAAAGGTTTAAAGTAATGAAAATTAAAGTACTGCGAAGCTGGTGCCGGCAAATACTGAAGGGTTTGCAGTTTCTGCACACACGCACTCCGCCCATTATCCACCGTGATTTAAAGTGCGACAACATCTTTATCACTGGCCCCACAGGATCAGTCAAGATAGGAGACTTGGGTCTGGCAACCTTGAAGCGAGCCTCCTTTGCCAAGAGTGTGATAGGTAAGCTTGAGTTCTTTTGTGGCAGCTTTTATTTGAAAGGTGGGGTGTCTTAACAGAACCTTTTTACTCTCACAAAGCAAAATTAGTTGGTTTCTGAGCTGATTTTATTCTTCACCTGTTTTTAATCTTCAGTCCTGAAAAGTCTAGAATTGTAGGCTTTGGAAGTTAAGGGTTCCTGCTATTTGGGTGTCATCTATAGAAGAATAGGCAAATAGCAGAACACTTTTGATAAAACCAAAAATACTGTAACAACCTAGGATTAAGGGGAAGTATAAAGGTTTCCAATAAAGATTCTTAGAATAAACAAAACAAAACTTCCACTTTTGTGGCTGCTGCACTGAATTAGCCTACTTAACTTTGTCAGCTGGTCCAAGACTATTACTAAAGAATTGGTTTTAACAGCTCTGTTCTGCTATTCTGTATATGAAGGAAGCAGGTTACTGAGGGAGAAGGTGGTCCTTATTAGCCTGCACCTATCATTGTGGTTAAAAATATAAGCAACAGACATTTTTGAAAATCTGTTTTTCAGACTTTTTCATACCTAATTTGACATTACAGATTGACATTTGCAAATATTTTGATCTTTGACATAATGAAACATTTCTAAAGATATTAAATATCTGTGGGAAAGGAAGAATTCTCTGGGAAATGACCAGCTTCCTGAACACAGCAGTCTCCCACCTATATGTTATGTTAAACTTTCAAGTGGAAAACTGCCATATTCTTATCGTTTTAAACTGTATTATTATGCTCATTTTCAAATAAGGTTTAAACACTGTTGGACTGTGGAAAGGATTTAAAAAGTGATCTGTTCAGTTGCATAAAATCTGGTTTGTTTGCAGGGAATAATTATTTGCTTATTGTAAATATGCAATTTCTGTTCTGAGTATCTCTGATCATACAGTGCAGTTTTCATCTGATGGAATGGTACATTGGCGTGATACTTTAGAGTTAATGCATCTCCGACAAATTGTTTTAAATTCAGGATTTGTTGAATCTCACACTCTGTGCCTGTTACTCAATCTCTCTATATTTCTGAGTATTTTTGCCTGTAGGATGTCCCTCACTATTTCCTGTATCTGCAGTAGGCCTATAAAATGTACTGCAGGTGAAATGGTAAGTATGTAAAAAGGGCTCTGGTGAGTGGCCTTTGTAGAAAATTTAAAAAAAATTAAAAGAAGACTTTATTCATAGATACAGGGTTTTTCATTGCAAGGCTTTGTTTAAAGTGACACTATTCAGAAGTAAATGGAGTGTTACAGGTCAGAGACTAGCTGTGGACTCTTACCAGTACTAATTCTTTACAGCAGAGGGCAGACAGATGTGCTGAAACAAGCATCATACCTCCTTTTTCAGAGGGAGGGAAGGTAAGTGTGGCTAACAGGTATTTGGTTTACAGCCTAGCTAGTCTCTTACTTAATTTTTCTCCATTTATCTTCAACTTGGGATTCAACTAGTTCATTTATTACAATTAAAGCTTCCTATTTTGTTCTGTTGAAATATGAATAAACAGCAAACATTTAAACCTTTAACACTCAGTTCCTCACTTCTTGCAAGGCCTTGCAATGGAAGACCCATGGGATACGTTGATGAAAAAGAATGACTGAGGGTGTCCTCCCTCTTCTTTTTGCCTCCACTTTTTCTTTTCTCACAGGTTTACTCGTCAGCTTCCTTCTGCGGTGAGTAACGCCAGCAGCCTCTGCTCGCTTTGAGACATTTAGAGTCTGAATCGTTCTTTTAATTTAAGGTACCCCAGAGTTCATGGCACCCGAGATGTATGAGGAGAAATACGATGAATCCGTTGATGTATATGCTTTTGGGATGTGTATGCTTGAGATGGCTACGTCTGAATATCCTTATTCTGAGTGTCAAAATGCTGCGCAGATCTACCGTCGAGTGACCAGTGTAAGTCTCTTAAACCTCTCTACTGATTGGTAGAGCTGCTACCACAGATAAGAAAGGATTACCTCCTTCATCATGCATAGATTTGTACAATTAAAGAGGAAATAGAAAAAACAGTCACTTTGGGGGAACACGTGGAAGCATCCTTTTCTAGTTCACCTTGAGCTAAACATTGAATGTCACTTAAAGGAAAAGCCACCGTCCAATAGTTATTTAGAAACCAGAAATTAATCCTTGTTTTTACTGGCATCCTGTTTACTTTCAAGTAAAGTTCCATAACAAGGCACTCTACCAAAATAAAACTGGATATTGGTGGGAATCTTTGGGGGAAATCAAGTGGGTAATTTGATTAGACAAGATTGGGTTGATGTAACAAATACCTTACAGAATGAAAAAATCCACAATATGAATTGCTTTGCCAGACTTTCAAATGCTTGTTTATATAAGTTGATGTAAGCAACAGTTTAAATTACATTTGCCCTACTATGCTGTGAATGCTGTTTTCCATAGGTGCTTACATAATTACCTAGTGAATAAGATCATTGGATCTGGAAGTGCACCAAAGAAACAAATGTATTGAAGGTTTCCCCTGTCTCCTAATTGATAAACAACTAGTTTCACTACTCGAGCAGTATTTCCCAAATAAGGAGCATCAGAAGCTGCCCTATATTAAGTGAGACCATTGGACCATCCAGCACAGTAATATCAACTCTGATTGGCAGCAGCTCTCCAGGGTTTCAGAGATTTTTCATTCTTCCTTGAAGTTGCCGAAGACTGAACCTGATACCTCTTGCATACAATGAATATGCCTGTCCCTGAGTTACAGTCCTTCCCCAAAGTGTGTGTCACCAGGGTACAATAATGTGCAGCAAAATTGCTACCATGCTGCAATAAATACATACTCTTGAGCCTAAAATGCACCATTTGTTGCAGGTTCTCTGTTTGGTTCACTGCTCTGGCCTTGCCTCCTTCCAGTCAGACTCTGATTTTTCTGTTCTGAGTACAAATTGATCATCCAGTTACTTCCAATAAGAGATGACATTGAATTGTCTACTTGCCACAGTAGTTTGGCATGTATTTACATGAGTTACTGCTCTGAGCTTTCTTTTCTTATAGACTCGACTCATTAAGCTGCACAGGGTGTGGTCTTTTCTGAGTTCAAGAGTGAAATATGTCTCAGAATTAAAATATCTTGTGGATCTAAATACAGTGCAAGATTCAGCCGATGTCTGCCTGCCTTTTGGAATAGATGCTTTTTTGTAATTAAAAATACTCATCCTGGTGTGTGTGTGTGGGAGAGGGAGAGGGAGAGGGAGGGAGGGAGGGAGAACTTAGCATTGTTGGCTTTTTGGAGACTGCAGATATTAATCTTCAAGCGTTGTCAAGCAACTACTATGATGTTCATAACTAGACATTTGCACTCATAAAGTGATAATAAAAAGTTGTGGTATCACATTTATTTATATTTAACTTCTTGGCCTATTCCATCGTGAGTGTGAGATTTACTTCAATTCTACGAGAACTTAGTACCTCTTTTCTACCTGTGATGGCCAACTGAGGCTTGCCCTACTGCCTCTTCTTGCTCCATACTCAAGACTTGCCTCACTCAGTGATAGCATTTATTAATTTTGTATCTCATTTTTTTTGCCAAAAATGAACATTCTACTAAACATTGAAACTGTCTTTTCTGTTCTTCTTTGGAATGCTTAACTTCTTCCTTCCAGCCATAAACAATCCGCTTCTTTTTTGTCTTACTTGACAAGTTGTTTCTCTTACACTTCCATCTATTCCCTTAATTCTATCCCTTTCAAAGTTGTGGTTGTCATATTCTCTCATCATTATACTTTTGTTACAGAATCATTCTTCTCTTTCTCTTTCTGACTTGCCATCTCCCCATAGCACACACATTTTCTAAAAAGCACTCTTAAAATTTTACCTTGCTCTTCTGACTCACTGTCCAGTTTTGCTTTCTGTGCTTTGTATTCAAACTCTTGGAGTATACTACTTTCCTCCAAATTTTCTTTTGATGCTTGCAATCTGTTGTTTGCCCTGTTGTCAAAATGTTCTCACTAAAATCACCAATGTCCTGCCAAATTCAAAGGTCCTTACTTGGTTCTCATCTACTTTGACCTTTCTGCTGTCTTTGATATAGCTAATTCCTCTGGCTTGCTTGACTCTTCCCCCTCCCCACCCATGTATCTGCTTTTTATGCTGAGTTAGCTCTCCTCCTGATTTCAGTGTTTCCATATACAGAAAAACATCCTTTGCTTCCCTCTCTTTACCAAACTTTTTTGCATTCTAATTTGTCTATATTCATTGACAAGGTTACCATTCATTTTCTTAGATTAGATACAGACTCTTCCCTTTATTCAGTAGTCAACCCTGTACAATTATTAGAAGAAAGCTCTACCATTCAGTCCCTTGATGGTAACTGGCTCATGCACAGTCTTGAGACTGCAGTCACCTCTCCTGTGGACATATGCTATTATATCTCAGTGCTGTCATGACTATCCAGATGTCTCCTGCAAAAATTATTCACTTTTCTTGTTCTTAGACCAGTGGTTTTCAACCTTTCCATAGCTGGGGACCAGTGAAAACCACCTTGGGGACTGCTGAAGCAGAAACAAAAAGCACCTTACACATAATACAGTATTCTGTGTATTTCCAAACACAATACGGAAAGAAAGAGAAAATTCTCCAGAAACCAAGCAGCAAAAAATGCCAACAAAATACTGACATTGGTGTGGTGTAGCTCGCAGCTGGCTCCCACTGAGCTGTCTGTCCCCTCCCCGAGCCTCCCAGCAGCAGTGGCACACTCCCTGTGAGTGCGATGCCAACAAAGGAAGAGGTGTGGACCACAGCCAGTTCCCACACTGGGTTGTGGTGAGTGGGATGTGCTCCCCCCCCCCCCAATGGACCAACAGGAAATCTCCTGCAGACTGGCCCTGGTCCACAGGCAGCTGGTTGAAAACCACTGGCTTAGACTATGCATCCCCTAAGTTGGTTTTCTGTTCCTGGATGCAGCAAAAATGTTTGCAATTCCTCTGTTGTTTTACAACCTTATTATAAAGTAACTGCAAGTGCTGAAGAGAGAGGGGTGTGTGTGTGTGTGTGTGTGTGTGTGTGTGTACAAAACAGTTCCTAAAACAATTTAGATAGAAAAGTAAAAAATAGTAAAATATTATTAAAACATTAAGCTTTTATTATTCTTGAGCTGACATGAAGTTTAGCATTAACTGGATGATGATAGAGATGGAACTGGTGTTGGAGAGGATAGCCTTAGTGCTGGAGAATCAGGGCTTGATTATGCTGCTAGAGGGGATGGGGTTGCTACTGGAGTCATTTTCTTGAAGAAAACATCAAGGGTTGTTTGTACAGCCATGAACATGAAAAAATACTGTAGTTCTGCCACCTTTGTGGAACTGGTTCCAACTTCGCACCTCTCCACTTTACTTTTCCTGCCTCCTTCCTTCCCTTCCTATTCTTCCCATCCTTCCTCTCCTCGTCACCCCACTACCGCAGGCACTCACTTGTTGCTTGAGAACAAGGTGGAACTTCTGGGTTTGCTGGTTTGTAAGTAGGGGTTGTTCTTAACTTACAAATGTCTAACTAGGGGACTGAGCATGTTCTTCTAACTTCACCAACCTCAGCTATCTGAATATTGCCTGTTTCTTTAAATCCTCTTTCGCTTTCTTCCTTGTTGCCTTCTTGCTTTGAATTGCCCTTCAGAACACCTACATAATGTTGGCTTTTCATTATCTTCTTTATTCTTATTGAGCGCCCACCTTTTCTGTCAAGCTGTATGTACAGCACTTAACTCCTCATTCTTTATGGAAGCTAAGCCAAAATGTTCAACTGAACTAAATACATTTGTTTCTACCTCACTATTGATTGTCTGTGTCACACCAAGAATTGCAAACTCCTTGGGAGCTGGGACCAGTCATTTTATTACTCTGTTCAGTGCCATGCACATTGATGTTACTGTAAACACAATATAACCACTAAACTTAGAAACCAAATGTGAAACAAATTACTACTACTAAAGTTTATTTTCCTCTCATTAACCTGCAGTACTGACCTTTTAACTCTGGAAATCGGCCTCTTATGTGAGTGACTTGAAGAAAACATGTTGGCACTTCTTTTTTCCTGTTTGTTGGATACCCTTCTACATGAAGATTTGCCTTGCCTTAACCTGAAAAAGCAGGTTAGCCAAGGTTCCAGGAAATTTGGCTGGCGTTGGTAGCTGAGTCAAATGTGTGGTCACCAGGCACAATTAATTTGAAAATAAATCCCGCTGCGTTCACTGGGGCTTACTCTAAGGAAGTGTACATAGCATTGCAGGTTAATTTCCTGACCTTGTGCTGAATCTCTCCTGGGAGGTTAGGGTCAATTTCTATCCAACTCCAAAAGTTTAAAGCAAGTGCTGACAAGCAGGGGCTTTTTTGGTTAGCAAATAGCCTAGGTGTTTAAATCACCACGCTCTCCTCAAGTCCATGCTAAAGAGTAAAGCTTGGGACTTTTTTGTAAGGGTTGTTTTTAGCATCCTAAGATTCTACAATAGTACGATTCAGTGTTCAATTACTCTGGCAGAAACAAGACAAACTGCAAAATCCAGAAATCAGACTGCAACTGTTCCAGCAAGGTTTTTTTTTTTTTTGCAAGGGAGGGGAAAACATCTGAATACAGTGAGTAAGGCAGCTTCCAAACTACTCCATAAGTATGCAGAACCCCTTCGGGGCTAAATTCTCAGGCATGCTGGCCTCCTGTATTTCCATACAAATGTGTGCAAAAGATCCGAGTTTATTGCTAATTGCTAGGGTGTACTTAAATACTTGACCATGAATGTAGACATACTGTTTTGGAGTTTGGTACTTATTAAAGGACAGACTGTCCTTGAATTTTTTGCACTTTATTTTCTTCCTTTTACCCTCAATGCATAATCTGTTATGAGGAACTATTTTTGATCTATGGCATTTCTCATCCAGATTTTACTGTAGTTGTCA